TTATGTATTATTATACTTAACTGTCTAGACATTATTTCACACTGATAATTGATAAGCGGCACCTCAAGTGAATTATTCGTCCAGATAGTCTCACATATTCTCCTCATTGATGGAGCATATGTTTATTTTATGTTTCTACTCGATTCTGGAGGAGATCGTGTGAAGAGGAGTTGAAACAGTATGGACTAACATGGATGCAGATGAAAAGTACAGCAGAAGACAGAAGTGGCAAGTGGAGACGTGCAGTTGAAGCCCTATGTTCCACTAGAAATCCAAGGGAACAATAATAATAATAATACTTGATTCTGGTAGTCCATAGATACATGAATGTCAAATATATTATATCATCGTTTGTGGGAGATTTCAGATTTCAGACATATGCTCGTACCACTAAGTATAGAAATTCTACAATACCCTATTTAGCCCGTACTCTATGTGATGAAGACACTGTTAGACGTGAAACACATAAGTTACTATGTAATTAGCACAGTAAATCGACCGTTTCATAGTTCATCTTTCTGTATTTTATGTTGTCACACTTTCTATCGTTTAATTATAACTTTGCTATTTTATTTTAGTTGTTATTACTATTATTACTACAATTTTGTACTTTATGCATATTTTTCTCCGTATTGCATACAGTTATTTGCTATGTAGCTGCTATAACAATCGTTTTATTGCTATTATGTAATGTTCATTTTTAATTTTTTTGTCGTTTTTGAGTAAATTAGAGTAAATATTGTACTGAAATGCTGAAAATTCCTTGCTGTATCATTAGTACTGTTCTTGGAATAAAGCAAAAAAATTATTATTATTGATATCTTTCACTGAGATCACTAAAGCAAAATTCGTGTATTTATCAAAGAATGTGCATTTGGTGGTGTTTTGCTGTGAGTAACTTTCACTGTCCACCTGAACAACATCTTCAGTGCTAACGTGCCATCTGTGCAACAGATTCCAGTTTCAGCACTAGGTAACTTGTGGTGTATAGATGTAATGGAATCTTTTAACTCTGACATCCAGTGGAAATCGGTACATGTTGATGATGATGGAACTCACTACGCGATTAGAAGATGCCATTGTAATCTCGGACCAGAATTCAAATGGAATGACTGATACAGTGGTTCGACATTCGGTTGCAGGTCACGGCGTACCCAATACGATATTGATAGACTAGGGTCTTTGTTATGAAAGTGACGAATATACATAGAGAAGATTAGAACAATATCATATGAAACACCAGCGAATTGTCTGAGAGAGAGAAATAACTCCGGTTTGAAGGAGTATCTGACACAAAAGGGAGGAAATTAGGAGATAGAGTTTCCATTGATTCTACTTGCACATCAAGGTTCCACCCAGGAAACAAAACAGAATTTGCTGATTCAATTGATATATGGTTGAGAACAATGACTACCAAGACATATCATGACCTGGCCTCTTCATCAAGAGTGGCGTATGACGAACTTGTGAACAGAGCGGTAATTAAGTAGTCACCAGTGTAAAGCATTGTATAAAGATGAATACCGCAAAATTTGAACAGAGTAAAAATATGAAATGCTTAACATTTGAAGTCGTAGATCAAGCAAAGTGTAAAGAAAGTACACAGTTGGGTGCTGACCAAGTACAAGGAAATTCCTTCCGAAGTATAAGGTCCATTAGAGGAGAGGAGGCAATCAGAAACCTGTCAACGCCAGTCAGCCGAAGAAATCAACACACTTGGGATAATCAAGGCGATAGCAAGACCCAGCAAGAATTAGTGGCAACAATAAGATTTGGGCGGGTCGACTTGAAACTACTTGATGGAGGGACGCGCTTGGCATGTACAACTTATGAGATTTGTAATTAGTACACAGATCCAGATATAAATATGTAGATCTACTGTAGCATAGATTCTTAAATTCATCTCTGAAGGATAGTTTATCTAAGAACGGATATCCTGAGAAGTTCATTAATAAACACTCTAAAGAAATTAGCCCCTGCAAAACAATCGAAACAGTTTATTGAGATGTACGCTGAATGTTCAGTTCACCTTCAACAATAAGATCTATAGACAGAGAGATGACATTGCCATGGGATCACCACTGGTTTCCTTATTTCTTGTGTTTTTTTTTTGGCAAAGCTGGAAAATTCTCAACTTAGTCAAACCATCGGTCATTTTGACATTTATAAAAGATACGTAGACGACACTTTCGTCATCTGCGATAATAACGTAGTTCTTGACGATGTCTTGTTTGCTTTCAACAACTGCCATCCTTCTTTACAATTCACCATAGAAAAGGAATCTGAACTAAGTATTCCGTTTCTTGATGTGTACCTTAGCAGACGTAATGACGGATCTCTCAAAAGACCTATTCATCGGAAACGTATATGTAACGGACAACTAACTAATTTTTACAGTTGGGTGCCTATTCCCAGGAAAAGGAACCTTATTCATTCGCTCTTCTCTAGGATGAGGAAAATTTGTAGTTCTGATTGCGCTGACTCAGAACTTGACTCCTTGAAAGCCACACTCTTAGAAAACGATTACCCTAACTTATTTATTGACAGAAATTTGAAAGATAAGCAGTGTAAACTGGTCACCGACTCAGTTCCAAAGAAAACCTTATTCATGAACTTGGAATTCAATTGTGATCAAGCTTCAGATATGCTCAAAAATCGTCTCTCTAAACTAGTCAGTAAGGCGCTCCCTGCAGCTAGATTACATTTGACGTTCAGGAGCCGCAAATTGTTCTCTACCTCTGTAAAAGATAAGCTCCCCCGTCTGACCGCCTCCATGTGCATCTACCAGTTCACCTGCTCTTGTGGAGCAAGGTGCATTGGTCGTAGTTAGAGAACGCTCTCCACACGGATACGAGAACATATTCCAGCATGGTTATACAATGGAGGAAAGAAGTGCGTGTGAAGCTCTATTCTGGAATACCTGATCGACTTCTGTCACTCGGTCAACCCTGACCATGATTTCAAGATCATATATAGAATTCATGCTAACTTCCCGCGTTTTCTTCGTTATAGACTTCTAAAGACAACTGAGGCCTTGGAAATTCATGACTTTCAGCCAGACCTTTGTGTACAAAAGAAGTATGTCCAATCCCTACTTCTGCCTTGGCCATTGAGGGATAGACATTTATTTATTTTGTCTATTTAGTTATTCTATCTACTTTTCCCTTATTACTACGGTTATTTTCATTATTATTACTATTACGACTCTCACTCTGAATCTTTTCCACTTCACCCACTTGACATTTTAAACCCAAAATTATTCATTTGTATACTTTTTATTTTTACAATATCGAATTCTATCTTATCGAATTTCACGCCATGTTACGTAACATTTTATATACGTCTATTAATCTTATAATTATGTACCTCTTTCCAAAATCTATACACCTTATGTATTATTCTATATATATGACATTAATTATTTTGCCACTTGACATTAAACTATGATTATAATCACAAATATTTTAATTGCATTTCATACCGCTATTATTATTCCATGTATTCACACCTTTTACCTAATTCCCTCACCGGATATAATTTTTTTAAAACCATATATATATATATATATATATATATATATATATACGATTGTACAGCTTGATAATAAATTCGTTGAAAAGAGTCTCTTCGCTGAAAATTGTGTTCTTAATAGTTCCAAAGAAACCTGTCTATATCAGTTTGTCATTCAAAGGAGATGATGCACAACAAGTAGTCGAACGAAGACTAGACAAAACCATCAAGCGAACTTATTATGTTGCAAAATGTGTTTTCCTTGACACCACCAAGCGAGTGCTTCAACAATCTGGGAAAGACCAGTCGCAAATCCTCGACACTTCAAACTGCGTCTATCAATTTGAGTGTGTTTGTGCGAGGAAAGGTGATTGTCTACTCGCATGATGGAGCATTTACCAAAATCTTTGAAAACAGCTAAGTGCAAAGCGCCAAAATCCGCAATAACAAAACATCTTGTGGACTACGAACATGATATCGATGGCGCCAAGTCATTCGCTATTATGAGCATACAAGGAAACAAGAAGATGCTTGCAATTGCAGAGGCTCGTGAAATTCGAGTTTATAAACCAGGCCTCTGTGTACAAAAGGAGATGATCGTGTCTCTGAATCTACTACGGCAATACGTTTTACTTATTATTCTACCTCTTATTATTATTATTCTTGATTCATTTAAAACTATCCTTTATCAGTACGATTATCTTAACTAACTTCAAGACTATTATTACTACTTTTATTATAACTATTACTATTGATATTACTCTGTTTGCAGTACTTCTAATATTCTCTAATGACTAATTGTTTATCTAGGTGATGTAATTGAAGCGTAATGCAATTTATCTTAATTTTGATCTCTCATACTCTCACTTTCCTTATCTATTTGAACATTACCTGGAAAACATTCGCACCTGTTGTCTTTCTGCATGACTAATTCAATAAAGTTTGTTTACTTATCAGTCTTATATCTCCCAATTTTATTTCAAAAGTATATATATATATCCGTGTGTATATAGTATTCAGCTGACGATTTCTACCAAAATTTGATGAGTTCCCTAAATCCTGCTTTATTAACCTGCTTTGTTGCTTGTTTTAAATTCATCGAGTTAACTATTATCACGATAATTAAGTGAGATAATTATACAAGTAAGCGAGCCGTCGAAAATCTTCACAACGTATTTATAACATTTTTTAAGCAGATTACGTCATTGGAAACGGCATCCAAAGGTAGACTAAAATCAGGTTCTAAGTTCACAACAAAAACATATCAGACTCTAAGTAAGCATGAACAGGGTTGTCTTGTATTTTCACTATGGTTACTTGGATGGCATAATAAGGTATTTACTTTGAATCTGTTTAAATATTCAACAACTACTCAGGGCGTTTCACGTGTTTGTTGTGGGTTAATTACCTTGAATACAACTCATATGACAAATATATATATATATATTGTTTGCATATTTATAAATATACAAAATTATCAGAATCTGGTGTGATTCTCAGATACTAAGAGTAGCAATGATGGAGTACAATGTCTCTAAATATCCACATTTTGATAATCCATGGGATATGCTAATTGACTGCGACAATGTGAAACGAGGAAGTCCAAAGTCAACTCCAGCGTTGTGCAACATTGCAACACTGAATGGTATTCTATGCGCCTACATCTTGCCTTTCATAGTTCTATTCAATGTCATCTGTAATGTGATCAATGCTGTCATATTCCTTCACGGTTATCAACAAAAAACAAGACAAGTTATCTATCTCGGAGTTCTTTCTTTAATAGATCTATGCGCTTGCCTTCTCGAGACTACATTGAGATTATTCCCCGCCAAAGGTATTCCATATGCATCTAACGGAACTATATTCTTCTCCATAAACAATACTTCAAGTATCGGATGTAAGTTATATCGAAGTGCACTAGGATTGTTGAATACATTCAGAGGGAATATGTTAATTACCACAATGCTTGATAGATTGTTAGCTATTCAATACCCTCTGCAATTTAGCCGATTTACTTCACGAAATGCTTGGTATTTTGTGTTGAGTACCTTCATAACAGCTGTTCTTTTAATGATACCTATCATTGTGCAGTCCGACTGGACTGTGTCTTCCAATAAAACTTCATGTTATAAGGTACCATCTAATCGATTTCTCTACCTTTATTATGGTCTATTCTCCGGAGCATGTTTTGCTCAAACTGCAATCAACGGATTACTGAATGGAGTACTATTACTTAAAATATACTTCTGGTTGCAACACAGACGTCAAATAGCCACATCAACACAGTCAACTAAATCCAGCGAACTTTCAGCATGTATTCTACTGCTGATTATTTCAGGAACAACATTTCTGCTGTCTATCCCAGCTATTTCGATCGCGTATTTTGCAATATCGAATCCATTCTCAAAAGATCCGAATAATGCATTTATCAAGCTACGTGTCATGCTGGATTTAAGAGATGTATTTTTGATTCTCACCTATATGCAGTCAATATTTAATACAGTGATTTATATCTGGCGAATGGAACACTTTCGTCTATTATTTTTGTGTATTGTTCAGTGCAAAAATATTCGTAAATTTAGACGTACACTTAAAAAGTCGTCAAATGCTAGTCATCGCCAAATCGCTTAAGCAGTCAATGTTGATGTGTTTTACAGATGGGAAGGAATCAACGATATGGCTATGAAAAAGGTATGTGCATTGAAATTAGGATGAATCATGTTAACTGAAGTCGAATCTAAACTAATGCAGACTGGATTTGCCTGTAAATTCTCTTATGGTATTATTTACGCACCTACCGAGTTATTTAGCCACTTTTGAAACTACTGCCTATGCGACACACAATTAGTCATCTACCTATCTAGTTAAATACCAAATGATGTAATTAATTCCTTCCTTATTAACATCTGTTGCCAACTGCATATAAAATAGGAGTTATTCACGTGGATCTTTTTCTACGCCACACTCACCCCTAATCATCTTGAGCTTGTCGTTGAAGTGTACGCGATGGATACAATAACATTAATCTATCTCTATTCATCATATCACTCCTAGAGTATTCAGGCATTCTTTCACCTAAATTCTATGACATGTATGTTTGAACAATGTATTGTGTGACTACTCACATTTATTATTGATATACCCATGAGAAGCATTCACTTCTATAGACTTCATCTTACATGATGTTAACTCCCTTTTCAGTGACAACAACATATTTTCCTCCAAGTATGTATTTGCTTTGTTTTCATTGTTTAATTTGTAGTAATTTTCAAATAAGAGTGTTGTTCATTTGTGATAAATAGACCAGGAACACTGAGGAATATATCAAATAAATTATAATTATATTTTAAGAGTGTACACACAATGATAAGGTTTTGTTTTCGGTAATATTTCGAAGCAAGATTACTACCTGAGATCACACGAACTGTTATGACTTGTACTCATCTATGTAGTTTTCATTTTTTTTTCATTGTTCATTCATTTTTGCGTATCCAGAATTACATTTCAGGTTCATATGAACTGTGATCAAGATTTGACTAAATAGTTTTAGGGAACTCGATAGAAATGGGACAAAAAATCGACTTTGTTAGGACTAAGATTGTACAGAAGGGTTTTGGTTAGTTTAAAGAAAGATTGACTGCAGAAATTCCACATATATTGGTGGATTCTAACAGTGTGAATATGCGTGAAGGTGAAGAGCAAATCTTGAATAATAAATAAAAATGGATATATCTTGTTCTTTTCACCATCGGGTTTGATGAAATTCATTTGGTCAGAAAGCATCACAGAGATTTTATCATTGTAATCTTGGTGATTCATAACTACAACACTCACACCTTTGTCTAGACGGCATATGGTAATACCATCATTCTTCTCTAGTTATTTAAGTTAGCCTATATGCTCTTTGGTCAGAAGATTATTCCAGCTAGGTTTTGAACTTGTAAACTGATGAGAACAATCAAGAAATGTAGATTTAAAGTGTTGGAATTCCTGAGGTGATGTGGGCGTGAGATCGTTGATCTGGTTGATTAGATTTTCGAATTACACTTGAGTATGCAGTCTGTTGACTTTGGACGAACTGTTACAGAAATTGGGGGCCAGTGATAGGGGTTGTAGTTGAGTTTCAGAAAAAGCGTTGGAAGAGTTGTTGAATACATATGCAAATGGAAGCACACATTGAACGTTTGTTTATTGGAACTGGGAGCCATTGGCGGGCAACTCAAAGACGTGAATGGTTCGATCGTGTACAAGATGGAAGAAGACGAAAGCATACGAATAAAAGTACATTATATTTATAAAGGGGAATTAATCGAAATTAACATAACAAATGTTTATATTTAAAAGGGACATCTCTTGTTTTTTAAAACTTTTTCCAGTCGTGAGCCATGCAACACGTGTCAGCATGTCCTATTTGGGATATAATCACTCACTGCGGAGTGCAGGTACATCCAGGTGACGGGTCCCAAATAAGGCGAAACGTGCATCCTGGACTCCACTGCTAGTCACTATCCACTAATTAACTTTTAATTACATACCCAGACATCACCGAACATTCTGCACAAGAAGGCAACATGTCAACCTGAGACCGAGTACTTCGGTCCAAGCAATCGACGGGAAAATCTAAAATTGAATTAAATGCTTATATAACGTTTGAAATGAAGCTTTATTATTATCATCCTTGTTTTCACCCCAATGATCTTGAAAAGAAATACTGATGAATACAGTCTGGAATACTATATTCAAACTACTGACCACATTAGCAGTAGTCCTATCATAACGACCAAAACTGACTGGTTGTAGTCTGAACTGAAGAAGTCGATCCTTGCACTCTACCACATAGCTAAGTGAAACTTTCTTTATCTACATACAGTCAAAAAAAATACTCTAACAACAGCGAAAAGACTGTTTCTTTGCACTAAAATCTCTGGTTCTATTCAACAAACATAATAAGTCAAAATGTAAAATTATCTCAATACTGTGGCAACACAGCAATACAAATACAAAGCTTTCTCGAGTACAAAATAATTTTCGTAGGATAAAATTATTCAATCAAATCAACTGTAAGAAGTATCTCGGAATGAAGTGGAATTTTTCCAACGAGGTGGGATCAAAATTCTGTCAAAAAGAATTACCAACCCACGATTACTCCTCCCCCCCCCACCAGCACACACAGACTGTCCAAGGTTAGAAGCCCCTCATTTATCAAACAAAATCACAACATAAGAGAAAGTATTATCAGTATCATGATACAACCACAAAGAGAAGCATTCAAGTGAAAGATATAACAGAAGTTGTGTTCAAGGATTCGAAAAATCTGTTAAGAAGACATGGCAGAGAAAGAGTTAAAATTATTACTTGAAACCCTACTAGAGAACGGGTATCCACAAATATTCATAGACGACAACATCAAAAAGAGAAGCCTACATCACCAAATATCACAACTGTTTCTAAGAAAACTCTCTTCATGAACCTGGAATTCAGAAGATACATTGAAGCAGAAATTGATGTAAATCACCTTCCCCAATCTCAGAAGAAGACATTTTATTCAGCCACTTTGCGTATCACATTCCTTCAGCAGACAGTTAATACATTTAGGATGAGATACGACTTTTGACCACTTCAGTGTGTATTTATCAGTTTACTTGTTCGTGTGGATCGAAATATATATCGGTCGTGTGCAACGTCAAGTTCACAAATGTATTCTGGAATACTGTCCAGCTTGACTAGCCAGTTAGAGGAGGAGAGAATAATTTAATAACTCCATCCTCAAACACCTTATCAACTGTCGACATCGAGCACCCCCGGATAAATGCTTCACAGTGCTACACAGAGTACGTGAATATCATACGAAGGGACTTCGAATACGCCATCTGTACATGACTAAATCATTGGCTTTTCAGCATCTGAACTCGGATATCTGCATTCAAAAGCATCACAAACATTCTTTCGCCCTACCTTGGCCAGAATAACGTTATCACTATAATTTCGCCTCCTTTTATTAATAATAAGGTTTTATTATTATCGTCATCCATATTTTATTATCATTCTATTACTGTTTATTAATAACATACAGATTTTATAAAAATACCTCGTCATCTTTCCACTATTTCCTCTTCATACCCCATAATATTAATGATTAATCATTTTCTCAAACTTATCATTACTTCCAATTAGTCATTCCATCTAGGTTACACCCTACATTACGGAATACATTTTTCAAGGAAACATTTTTACCAGTATCTGATTCGTCTTATGATTCTTTTGTTAAATATAGTTACGACTGTACAGCTCATGAAAGTGAATCGTTGAATAAAAACATTTTCTTCGTTATTTATGCCTTTTTCTTATGACTCAATTTGGGAATATTCCGTTCATATTCTGATAGCTTTGAGATAGTAGTACATATATTTGTCTCATAACCTCGCCAGATTACTAGCTAGCAAGTTTTCTAGCCGGTCCCAAGATAGTGTAAAGGGGAAGGGTTGGGGCGTGGTGCTAGCAACTTCACCCCCGTAAAACAACCAAATCGCTACAGAAACTTCAACGAATTAATGTATTAAAAATTCTAAAAACATAAGCAATAGCCTTACTTTTCGCTGGAATCAGGGAAGTGAATGACGCAGGCTGGTGAAAGCCTTCGGGAAGCCAGTTAGCCGATGTGCCTTCTTTCGATGAAAGCAAAAGTGAGGATGGGTACCTGGAATGCTCGTACAATGTACGAAACTGGAAAGGCTGCCCAGATAGCCACTGAAATGAGAAGGTACAGAATAGAAGTGTTGGGAATCTGCGAAAGCAGATGGAACGGAACTGGAACGTGCCAACTACCTACTGGAGAGACAATAATCTATTCCGGCCACCCAGAGGACAATCACGAGCACACCGATGGAGTGGCCATCATGATGTCACCAACAGCAGCCAAAGCTCTCATGCAGTGGGAACCAATTTCCTCCAGGATAATGACAGCCAGGTTCAACTCAAAAGGAAGGAAATTTACAGTCATTCAATGTTATGCGCCTACAAACGTCTCAGAACAAGAGAAGAAGGAGGCGTTCTACAGGCAACCACAAGCAATAATGGACAACGTCCCAAATGGCGATATCAAAATCCTGATGGGCGACATGAATGCGAAGTTGGGAGGAGACAACACACGAAGAGAACTCACCATGGGTCGTGAGGCCCTCGGTGAAATGAACGACAATGGCGAACTCTTCTCAGACTTCTGCACCTTCAATGATTTGGTGATTAGCGGTAGTGTGTTCAAACACAAGGATATACACAAGACGACATGGATTTCACCAGATGGAAACACCAAGAACCAAATAGACTTCATCTCAATTTCAAGAAAGTGGAGACGGAGCCTACTGGACACAAGGTCAAGGAGAGGAGCAGATGTGGGTTCAGACCACTATCTAGTACAAGGGACTTTCAAGGTGAAACTAAAAGCCTCGAGGATAGCTGGGGATAGGCCACAATTCAAGTTCAACACTCAATTACTGAAGGACGTGTTCAACGGCTCTAGGAAGAAAGAAGAGACAAGACAAGGAATGGCTCTCAACGGACACTTGGAAGCTAATAGAAGAGAGGAGAATGGTGAAAGAGAAAATGATTCAATGCAAGGACGGACAGGAGAA